TTCACTCAAAAAATCGATTTTTGGTGGGTTTTGGAAGTGATCACAGATTTTCTTTGTTTTAGCTCTATCTCTTATAGTTTTCGAGAAAAACGCACTTTTATGATTTCACTCAAAATATCGGTTTTTGATGGGTTTTCGAAGTGATCACAGATTATCTTTGTTTTTGCTCTATCTCTTATAGTTTTCGAGAAAAACGCACTTTTATGTTTTCGCTCGCAAAATCGATTTTTGATGGGATTTAGAAGTGATCACAGATTATCTTTGTTTTTGCTCTATCTCTTATAGTTTTCGAGAAAAACGCACTTTTATGTTTTCACTCAAAAAATCGATTTTTGGTGGGTTTTGGAAGTGATCACAGATTATCTTTGTTTTTGCTCTATCTCTTATAGTTTTCGAGAAAAACGCACTTTTATGTTTTCACTCAAAAAATCGGTTTTTGATGGGATTTAGAAGTGATCACAGATTATCTTTGTTTTTGCTCTATCTCTTATAGTTTTCGAGAAAAACGCACTTTTATGTTTTCACTCAAAAAATCGGTTTTTGATGGGATTTAGAAGTGATCACAGATTATCTTTGTTTTTGCTCTATCTCTTATAGTTTTCGAGAAAAACGCACCTTTAATTTTTCACTCAAAAAATTGATTTTTGATGGGATTTAGAAGTGATCACAAATTATCTTTTTTTTGCTGTATCTCTTATAGTTTTCGAGAAAAACGCACTTTTATGTTTTCACTCTAAAAATCGATTTTTGGTGGGTTTTGGAAGTGATCACAGATTTTCTTTGTTTTAGCTCTATCTCTTATAGTTTTCGAGAAAAACGCACTTTTATGCTTTCACTCAAAATATCGGTTTTTGATGGGTTTTCGAAGTGATCACAGATTATCTTTGTTTTTGCTCTATCTCTTATAGTTTTCGAGAAAAACGCACTTTTATGTTTTCACTCAAAATATCGGGTTTTGATGGGATTTAGAAGTGATCACAGATTATCTTTGTTTTTGCTTTATCTCTTATAGTTTTCGAGAAAATCGCACTTTTATCAGTTTTTGATGGGATTTAGAAGTGATCACAGATTATCTTTGTTTTTGCTCTATCTCTTATAGTTTTCGAGAAAAACGAACTTTTATGTTTTCACTCAAATAATCGATTTTTGATGGGATTTAGAAGTGATCACAGATTATCTTTGTTTTTGCTCTATCTCTTATAGTTTTCGAGAAAACGCATTTTTATGTTTTCACCATTTCTATATAGCGAGTATTGTGAGTATACTAGAATATTTTTGTAATATTTTCCTAAATATGGCATCTTAGTTTCGATTATCTGTCAATTACACCTATAAACTGTAGTTTGAACCTCAATTATAAAGTATTATAGGTCAAAGTTAGGTCCATTAATGCGACTTGGACTCAGCTAGTATTTTATAAATAAAACAATTGTCTTGATTTTTTTTCTCAGTAACTTTTTTTCATTCATATATATTTTTTTGTTTTTTATTAATCATCGTTTTTTTCCTTCATTGTTATATTTGTTGTATATATTTTATAATAATATATAGTTTTTGTTGTTGTTGTATATATATCAAAATAAACTTAGTATATAAAATGTTACAAAAAAATAAGTAAATATTAAAAACAAAATATATAAAAAAAATTTAAAGATAAATTTATCATTTAAAAAAACTTGTTTTTTATAAAAAGTATAAAAATAATAATAGAAAAAAGAACTGCACTCATGTAAAAAATATTTTATTTATACAATTATTTAAGAGTAATTATAATTAGCATACGTACAAATATAAATATAAATAATTCAATAGTTATAAATTACAATATGCGTTCTTCTTTTTTTTATAAATAACAAACAAAAAAGAAAGTACCCTACAGCTAGTTTTATGTTTTTATTTTAATCAGTTATTCTTTTGCATTTGAAACTACATTTAAATATTTTTTAATTATTTGTTTGTTAGTTCGATTATTTTGTTTTTATTTTTTAATGATTATAATGAGTTTTTTTTAAGAATACTATTTTAATTTTAAATATAATGACCACATTTAGTACGTTTTCTGCTACAAGTACTTAAAAATTAAAACTTAAATTTAAATATTTGTTTTGTGTGTTTTTTTTTTTAAATATAATTTATAAAATTAAACTTTAATTACAATGAAATACTAAGTATACTTAGTATTTGTTAAGTTAAATTAATTCGTTTGTAGATTATTTGTTTTTGTTAATAAAAATATAAAATAATTTAATTAAAATAAAAAATAATTTGAAATTTATCACGGAAAAATTCGTTTATTAACGATTTTGAATACACAACTCATTAATAAATTGAGTTTTTTTTAATTTTTAATAATTGCATTTGTTTTTATTTTATTATATTAGTTTTAATTTAAGTTTAGTAGTGTTTTAATTTTATAATTTTCCTTATTATGAGAGTTTTGTTGAATTTAAGATTTTTGGATTTGAGATTTAAATTTGGCAAATTTTGCTTGTAGTTTTTTTTTCAATTTTGTTCAAGATCTTGTAGACTTATTTGAGGTTTATAAAATTATAATAAAAAAAAATATTTCAAATTTTTCTTTAAGCACTTGGGAGGGGGTTTAAATTAAATGTTTTAAATCTTTTATAAAATAAAAATCAAAAAATTTAAAGAAAGTTTTTAACAAAAGAATTACTAAAGCTTTTATGTTAAAAAAATTAAGTTCGTTTTTTTAATTCGTTGTTAAAAAAGGAGTAAATAAATAAAACACTTAAACTAATGTTTAATTAAACAGCCCCTTTCTTTCTCTAAGAGAAAAAGTTCCTTGAAATTTGAGCAAAAGTTCTATGTACAGAAAATAAGCTCAATAAGTATTAAAGCTTTAAGAAACTTTTGTAGAAAAAAACATCAAAAGCTTTTAATTTATTTTGCAAAGAATGCTGTTAGGTTCTAATTGCATTTTGAAATTTCGAAGCTTTTAAAACTTGAAATATAAACTTTTAAAAGCTTATACATATAATTTCTTTAGAGATTGAGGTTCAATGCAATGTTTAATGGAGTTACGAAAGTAAAGAAAATAAGCTCAATAAGTTAAATAATATAAAGCTTTAAAAACTGTAAGAAGCTTTCAATAATAGGAAATGTTATTGAGAAAAAGCTATTTGTGTATGAAATAGAAAACTTTTGAAAGAAGTTTCGAAGCTTTTTAAATTTTAAAATTTGACTTAAGAAGCTTATCGCCTTGTGTACTTAATTTCCCTAAAAAACGACGTTAGCAGAGGTTTAAAGCTCGATGCTCTGAGTAGAGAAAATAAGCTTAAATAGTTCACAAATGAGAACTTTTTAAGAAACTTTTTAAGAAAAAATATATAAAAATATTTTAATAAAATTTGAAAATTTGTTCGAGTTTGAAATAAAAAGCTTTTGAACTCCTGAACTTTAAACCTTATATGTATACTCGAATAATAAACGGTTTGTAGTTGAAATAAGAAACTTTGGAAAGGTATTCCAAAGAAGAAGAGAATATAAAAAGCTTTCAATAAAAGTTAAACATGTTTGAGTTTGAAATAACAAGCTTTTGAGGGAAGTTTCGAAGTTTTTGCAACGATATCCAGAGTTTGAGAGCTTTCACAATTTTTAAATGGAGTAAATTATTTTAAAGATTAAAAAGCTATTTGTGCTTAAAATAATAAACTTTGCAACGAAACTAGATTCTTAAGCTTGCAAGTTAAACTTTTTAAAAAAGCTTTGAGCTCAATGTAATGAAATTTTAAAGTTTATCCTCTTGTGTACATACATTCCTTAGAGATCGTTACCAAATCAAATAGTTCAAAAGTTCTAAACTTTTTATGAAAAAAAAAATAAAAGCAAAAGCTTTTTTAGAAAATTATATTTTAGTTGGAATTACGAAAGCTTATTTCCCTGTGTTCGCAACAAAGCTTTGAAGTTCAATGCATTGACTTAAGGAGAGCTTGTTTTGCTGAAGACACAAAAGTTTAAAATTAAAAACTTTGAACTTTCTTAAAAGCTTTGAAAAGTTAAAGTTGGGGCTGTTTAATGTAATATTTTCTTAATGTTTTTAAATTTCTCATATTGTTTAACATTTAATTGTTTTTGTAACACTTTCAATTTAAATAATGAATTGTTCATATCATTTAAATTTATTATTTTTTTTTTCCTTAATACAAAACACTGAGCTTTTTCTTATACAAATTTAATTTTCTTCGACTATGTTTCACATTTTTTGAGTATTTTTTCCTTGTTTTTATCGTAAAACTATTTTTATTTTTTTTATATAGAAATCACTAAAACTACTAAACATTTGTTTTTGTTGTTTTATATTAAATATTTAGTTATACATTATTAGTTTATTATATACATATTTAATTTATAGAGATTTTTTGTTAATATTTTTGTTTTTTATATAAAAAAGAGAACATTTTTAATTTCGTCGTAAATGGCACAGGAGACATTAACATTATTTTGTATTTTTTATTTATTTTGTTCACATTACTTGACTATTCGTTGACCTTTCCAAAAACAAAAGAAAGTTTTAACAACTTTATGTTTTCTTAAAAATTTGTTTGAATTTTGTTTTACTTTTCATTTCAGTTAATTTTGTATTTAAATAAAAACATAATTTTGTTGGAATTAAGGAAAGCTTAAAGGGAAAAGAGTTTCATAAAAAGCTTAGCAACTTATTAAAAGTTTCTAAAAAGTTTTTAAAATTAATCTAAATTAAAGTTTTACAATTTTAGAAAAACTTTAAATTGAATATAAGCTAAACAATTTAAAAACGTTTAAGGCTTGTTATTTTAAACTTTTATTAAAGATTGAAAGCTTGAACGTTATTTTAAGTTTCTTTATAATTAAAAGCTTTCATTCTATACTAAGATCGAAAAAATATTTTAAAAGCTGTTAAATTATTTCTACAACGTTAAAACTAAAGCTTTCACATAACATCCCTTTAAAGCTTCCTTTAATCCTCTTCATTTCTTATAAACCTTCATTTTTTTTTTAACCTAATAATACAAATATCAATTTATGAATCTAAATTTACAGTTTTACATTTAAATAGTTTACAATACAATTAATTATACATACAATTATATAATAAAAAAAAATTTTGTTCTCTTCAAGAAAAGGCATCTTAGTAAACAGTTTTTTTCATTTCTCAACATTTCTTAACACTAAAAAGAGTTTTTTCCTTCGGCCACCTCTCTAAATCCATAATGAGCCTATAGTTTCAGTTATAATATCCATCACATCTTGCCTTTCCATATCTTTCAAAATCATCAAAAGCTCTACGATGGTTTGAGAGGCATGAGTGCGCTGACTGGCTCGACATTCCCACAAATTAAGTATTTGTTCTGTGGGCGAGGGTTTGGTAGCGAAATAAGCTATATAACGATCGGTATTTAACTTTTTAGCCAACAAACGCCAATCACGTTCATCTTCCCGCGGAGGATCTAAAGCCGCACATATTCTTCTCTTAGTATCACGCGGCAAATGTATGGTATTCAAAGGTAAAGTGGCCTCGTTGACATAGTTCCCATGGGGATCGATGGTAACGGTACTCTGACGTTCCAACGATGAGTGGGCTGAGTGATTGGTGGGGTGTGTATGCGGCTGCTGTTGTTGCAATTGGCGACTTATACTAAAGGAATGCACTTCTGAGTATAAATGATGACTATCACTACATTGAGCAAAATCTACAGTTAAATTATTGGCTGAATACAATTGTTCATTGCGTTTGATTATGAATTCACAGTGCAGTACAGAATTATTCGACAATATATGATTGTAGGGTATAATCTGTTCATGCAATTCGATTTCGTTTTCTGTATCCCACATATCCTCCTCGGAGTTACGCAAACGTATATTCATATTACTATTATTAAGATAGAAAGCAAAAGCCTCACTTTCACCCATAAAGGAACCACCCAGTTTCGATTCAATGCTGGTGCAAATATCACGACTATTGGGAAAATCTTTGACTATATAGATTCTTAAACTGCAATTAGTGCTCGTCGGTGTAAATTGACTAAATGCTATGAGACGCATTTTCAAAGAATTCTGCAAACAGGTAGTGGGTATTTTGGGCTCGGCCACTACCACAAAGCGGCCCAATTGTTCAGTCATTATATAGACATGTTGTGATTCTAATTGCACAAATACCGGCGTATTAATGGTCTCCTCTCCAATGGCTATAATCTTACGCCAATTGACATTTAAGTCATCGTGTTCATTGTCGGCATAGTAAATGAAAACATTCCATAGATTAGTGTCCACCAAACAGTGGGGTATTTTCAATATCACCGGTTTTAGGAATGTATAATTGCGTGGTGCACAGTGTACTATAGTACTGCAGACAAGTAGGGATTCAGTATTGGGTATGGTGACCCGCGAGGTTTCATCACTGACCAACATTAGGGAGACATGTTTACGCATACTTTTGCCTATCGAATGTTCGGGTATATAGAGCATTATTTCTCCGGCATAAAGATTTAGCGAGCCTCCACTGCAGTTGAGTTGATCATAGGTGGAACATTTTGATGCTGATAGTCCACCGATTTTGGCGGTAACATCGTAGGTGGAATTGGCTGTGGGAATGGGGAAAAGAGAGAAAAATTAGTAATGATTTTAAGATATATTTTAGAACAACAATAGTTGGATAAATTCAAAGACTATAGTATGGATTGTTTCATGGAATAGTCTATTGATAAGTGTATACAATAGCCTATGGACTGGTCTATTGAATAGTTTATTGACTCGTCTATTGACTAGCCTATTGATTAGCTTATGGACTGGTCTATTGACTAGCCTATGGACTAGTCTATTGACTAGCCTATGGACTAATCTATCTAAGAGTTTGTGTACTAGTCTATGGACTAGTCTTTGGACTATGTACTAGACTATTGAACAGTCTATAGACTAGTTTAATGAGTAGTGTATTAATTAGTCATGGACTAGCTTATTGACTAGTCTGTGGACTAGTTTATTAACTATTTTATGGACTTGTCTATTGACTAGTTCATGTTTATGGACTAGTCATGGACTATTTTACGGACTTGTCTATTGCCAAAACTATGGATTAGTCTGTAGACTACCTTTTAGACTAGTATATTGACTAGTTTATGAACTAGTCTTTTAACTATGTACTATACTATTGAGCAGCCTATGGACTAGTTTCATGACTAGTCTCTTAACTAGTCATAAACAAGCCTATTGAATAGTCTATTGAATAGCTTATTGTCTTTGGACTAGTCTATTGACTAGTATATTGAATAGTTTATGGATTAGTCTATGGACTATTTAATGGACTTATCGATTGACTAGTTTATGGACTTATCTATTGAATATGCTATGTACTGGTCTACTAACCTGACTATGGACTAGACTATTGACTATCTTATTGATTAGTCTATCAACTAATTTATGGACTAGTCTATGGACTATTTTATGGACTTGTCTATTGACTAAACTATGGACTAGTCTATTTACAAGTTTATGGATTAGTTTATTCTCTAGTTTATGGACTAATATACTGAATAGTCTATTGATCACATTACTGAGAAGTCTATTAATTTGTCTATTGGTATCTTTCAATAAATGTTATAAATTTTTGATTTTCAGTACTTACAGGTATCGGCGGTAGAAGTATCGGGTGTATCTGTTAGATAGTCCACACTTAGATCATCAATAGGATTCACATAACTGAAATATATTTAACAAAATTTTAAAAAATAAACTAAATTTAAATAAAATATCATACTTACTTGGCTGATAAATTGGGTACATCATAATGATGTTCCGATATCGAGCAACCACCATGATGGCTGGGTGGTAGAAATCTATGACCCGGACTGGCATAATCATAATTATCATTAGCTGTTTCAATATGCATGCGCATATCCTTCTTACTAATATCGGGTAAATATTTAGGATCCATTACTAAAGAAAAAAGAAAGAAATTTTTAAAAATCTGGAATGTAAATCCTCAAAACATTTCTGTAACTTACCCGTTCTGGTCATATTATAGTGTTGATTAACCCTGATGCCTTTGCGTGCACAGCAAATCAATGCAGCACCGAATGCAAAAAATACCGCCGTTACAAAGGCTAAACCCAAATACAGAGTCCAATCGAAATCTAAAAAGATAATAAAAACAAGCCAATTGGTTAATTTAATTGTAATGACTTGATTTTTATCTGGTGTGACCCATTAAATGGCTTGTTAATTTCTTTTACTTGTATAGAACAGTGTGTGTGTGTTTGTTTGTTTTGCTTCAAAGGAAGCCCACAAATGGGTACATCTTGATTTTATCAAACAGCTTTGAAATGATGAAATGATAAAAAGGGAGTTGTTGTATTGCTTTATTTGTTATTGCTCTTGTTGTTGCTGTTTTATATAATCCTACCCTGTCATTACTACTCGGTAATTAATTTCCCCACAAAAATGTTGAACATAAAAACCAGATGACATCAAGAGTAAAAGCTAGAGATACAGTGCCACACATGACGTCTTCTTTGGCTTTTTTTTTTTTTGTATTTTAAATTACAAAAATCCATCGAAAAGGATGTTGTTGCAACAACAATGTAAAAAATGAATACACACAGTTATGTGTCACAAACACAAAACAAAAGCAACATTAACAAATAACAAAAGCAACAACAATGGGCTTCATCATCCTTCATAGACGACTATGAAGAACAGCGATGATAATCGCCAGGAAAATGGGGTATGCTCATGATGTGGCAGTAGGCAAGCAGGCATCTAGCCAACTTTTCAATACGAATGCGAATGAATACAATACATTTTCAATTTCAAATACAAAACATTCATAATTCTTCTTTATGCCCCCTTCCTAACGCTTCGACATCATCCACCTCCTTCTCCTCCAACACACGCTTAACTTTTAGAACGCACATAAAAATTATGTTGATGATGTAGTCATTCAGTCAGTCAGTTAGTTAGTTTTTTCAGATTTTTTTTTTTGCTATTGCCATTCTTTGTCACTACTACTAACAACAACAACCAACACACTCATTCACTCACAGCGATACATACCATCTTTGCCTATTTGACAATATTCCCCCCGACATTCGGCTGTCTGTATATCTTTTCCACTACACTGAGCTTTGATGCCACCAGGAATGAGACCGGTGCTGCCAATGTTGCCACTACTTAAGCTGCCAACAATACCGTTACTTGATAAACCGCCAACGCTGATGCCCAAACCTGCATCCTCATCATCCACCAGTACCGAGGAACTTGTTGTGATACATTTCCGGCGTCTTATTTGTATGCATTCAGCAGAACATGAACTCCATTCACTCCAGGCCGACCAACGTCCCGCTGTGTAAAAGACACAAACAAGCAAAAAAATAAATCAAACAGTCAAACAAAGAAATAGTTGGAATAAAAAAATTCCATAACTTCACTACAAACTCCCTAAATGCATAAGAACGATTTAATTTTCTTTTCAGTTTGTTTTTTTTTTTTTTAATTTTTTGCCAACAACTAGAAGAAATTGAAAAAAAATCTTTAGTAAACAATAAACAAAAGAAACCAAGAAATTAATACTGTTTTGTTGTTGCCATCATCATCAAAACTCCTTCCATATTCTATTACCCACTAATTCCTCTTCATACTTACTGCAACATCCTGTAAGCTTTTCCTCTCTCTCTCCTCTCTTCAACATTATTGTAATCATCACATCATCATTATAAGCAGCATTAGCATCAAAAGACACAATTTTGCTTAAAATCTTAACTTCTTTATTAAAGTATTCATTGTCTATGCAGGGAGTTTTAGGAATTATAATGAAAAGTTCGAGTACTTTAAGTTTTTAGTTACACAACCCACATCTATTTCTGTGCATCCTTAAGGTTTCCCTTTTTTCTTGTTCTTCTCACTTTTTTGCTTAAGTTGTTTTTATTGTTTATAGTTCATAAAACAATTTCGTGTGCAAAATTCAAGAGATATTAACATGTTTTAACAATAATTCTTTTAAACAGCTCGAAACGAAACAACAATCCAAAACAAAATTTGCTTACAAGTGGTTTTCTTAATGGCTTTAGTGTTTCACAGTTATATTATCACAAAAGTTAGACATAATACTATATTATAATAATATACAGTGGGTAACAAAACAGAGCTGGTATAAAACCTTATACAAGTGAGCAACATGAGAAAGTAGACTGAAACAGAAATATCAAGGTTTTCAACTAGAACTGAACTAGAACTGAACTAGAATTGAACTAGAACTAAACTAGAACTGAACTAGAACTGAACTAGAACTGAACTAGACTGAACTAGAACTGAACTAGAACTGAATTAGAACTGAACTAGAACTGAACTAGAACTGAACTAGAACTGAACTAGAACTGAACTAGAACTGAACTAGAACTGAACTAGAACTGAACTAGAACTGAACTAGAACTGAATAGAACTGAACTAGAACTGAACTAGAACTGCAACTAGAACTGAACTAGAACTGAACTAGAACTGAACTAGAACTGAACTAGAACTGAACTAGAACTGAACCTCGAAACTGAACTAGAACTGAACTAGAACTGAACTAGAAACTGAACTAGAACTCTGAACTAGAACTGAACTAGAACTGAACTAGAACTGAACTAGAACTGAACTAGAACTGAACTAGAACTGAACTAGAACTGAACTAGAACTGAACTAGAACTGAACTAGAACTGAACTAGAACTGAACTAGAACTGAACTAGAACTGAACTAGAACCGAACTAGAACCGAACTAGAACTGAACTAGAACTAAACTAGAACTAAACTAGAACTGAACTAGAACTAGAACTGAACTAGGACTGAACTAGAACTGAACTAGAACTGAACTAGAACTGAACTAGAACTGAACTAGAACTGAACTAGAACTGAACTAGAACTGAACTAGAACTGAACTAGAAACTGAACTAGAACTGAACTAGAACTGAACTAGAACTGAACTAGAACTGAACTGGAACTGAACTAGAACTGAACTAGAACTGAACTAGAACTGAACTAGAACTGAACTAGAACTGAACTAGAACTGAACTAGAACTGAACTAGAACTGAACTAGAACTGAACTAGAACTAAACTAGAACTAAACTAGAACTGAACTAGAACTAGAACTGAACTAGGACTGAACTAGAACTGAACTAGAACTGAACTAGAACTGAACTAGAACTGAACTAGAACTGAACTAGAACTGAACTAGAACTGAACTAGAACTGAACTAGAACTGAACTAGAACTGAACTAGAACTGAACTAGAACTGAACTAGAACTGAACTAGAACTGAACTAGAACTGAACTAGAACTGAACTAGAACTGAACTAGAACTGAACTAGAACTGAACTAGAACTGAACTAGAACTGAACTAGAACTGAACTAGAACTGAACTAGAACTGAACTAGAACTGAACTAGAACTGAACTAGAACTGAACTAGAACTGAACTAGAACTGAACTAGAACTGAACTAGAAAGAACTGACTAGAACTGAACTAGAACTGAACTAGAACTGAACTAGAACTGAACTAGAACTGAACTAGAACTGAACTAGAACTGAACTAGAACTGAACTAGAACTGAACTAGAACTAAACTAGAACTAAACTAGAACTGAACTAGAACTAGAACTGAACTAGGTAACTGAAACTAGAACTGAACTAGAACTGAACTAGAACTGAACTAGAACTGAACTAGAACTGAACTAGAACTGAACTAGAACTGAACTAGCAACTGAATAGAATGAAACTAGAACTGAACTAGAACTGAACCTAGACTGAAAACTAGAACTGAACTAGAACTGAACTAGAACTGAACTAGAACTGAACTAGAACTGAAACTAGAACTGAACTAGACTGACTAGAACTGAACTAGAACTGAACTAGTAGACTGAACTAGGAAACTGAACTAGAACTGAACTAGAACTGACTAGAATGAACTAGAACCTGAACTAGAACCTGAACTAGAACTGAACTAGAACGAACTAGAACTAAACTAGAACTGAACTATACCTGACTAGAACTGAACTAGGACTGAACACTAGAACTGAACTAGAACTGAACTACGACTAGAACTGGACTACTGAACTAGACTGAACTAGAACTGAACTAGAACTAGAACTGAACTAGAACTGAACTAGAACTGAACTAGAACTGAACTAGAACTGAACTAGAACTGAACTAGAACTGAACTAGAACTGAACTAGAACTGAACTAGAACTGAACTAGAACTGAACTAGAACTGAACTAGAACTGAACTAGAACTGAACTAGAACTGAACTAGAACTGAACTAGAACTGAACTAGAACTGAACTAGAACTGAACTAGAACTGAACTAGAACTGAACTAGAACTGAACTAGAACTGAACTAGAACTGAACTAGAACTGAACTAGAACTGAACTAGAACTGAACTAGAACTGAACTAGAACTGAACTAGAACTGAACTAGAACTGAACTAGAACTGAACTAGAACTGAACTAGAACTGAACTAGAACTGAACTAGAACTGAACTAGAACTGAACTAGAACTGAACTAGAACTGAACTAGAACTGAACTAGAACTGAACTAGAACTGAACTAGAACTGAACTAGAACTGAACTAGAACTGAACTAGAACTGAACTAGAACTGAACTAGAACTGAACTAGAACTGAACTAGAACTGAACTAGAACTGAACTAGAACTAACTAGAACTGAACTGAACTGAACTAGAGAACTAGAACTGAACTAGAACTGAACTGAACTAGAACTGAACTAGAACTGAACTAGAACTGAACTAGAACTGAACTAGAACTGAACTAGAACTGAACTAGAACTGAACTAGAACTGAACTAGAACTGAACTAGAACTGAACTAGAACTGAACTAGAACTGAACTAGAACTGAACTAGAACTGAACTAGAACTGAACTAGAACTGAACTAGAACTGAACTAGAACTGAACTAGAACTGAACTAGAACTGAACTAGAACTGAACTAGAACTGAACTAGAACTGAACTAGAACTGAACTAGAACTGAACTAGAACTGAACTAGAACTGAACTAGAACTGAACTAGAACTGAACTAGAACTGAACTAGAACTGAACTAGAACTGAACTAGAACTGAACTAGAACTGAACTAGAACTGAACTAGAACTGAACTAGAACTGAACTAGAACTGAACTAGAACTGAACTAGAACTGAACTAGAACTGAACTAGAACTGAACTAGAACTGAACTAGAACTGAACTAGAACTGAACTAGAACTGAACTAGAACTGAACTAGAACTGAACTAGAACTGAACTAGAACTGAACTAGAACTGAACTAGAACTGAACTAGAACTGAACTAGAACTGAACTAGAACTGAACTAGAACTGAACTAGAACTGAACTAGAACTGAACTAGAACTGAACTAGAACTGAACTAGAACTGAACTAGAACTGAACTAGAACTGAACTAGAACTGAACTAGAACTGAACTAGAACTGAACTAGAACTGAACTAGAACTGAACTAGAACTGAACTAGAACTGAACTAGAACTGAACTAGAACTGAACTAGAACTGAACTAGAACTGAACTAGAACTGAACTAGAACTGAACTAGAACTGAACTAGAACTGAACTAGAACTAGAACTGAACTAGAACTAGAACCTGAACTAGAACTGAACTAGACTACGAGACTGAACTAGAACTGAACTAGAACTAGAACTGAACTAGAAACTACTGAACTAGAACTGAACTAGAACCGAACTAGAACCGAACTAGAACCGAACTAGAACTGAACTAGAACTAAACTAGAACTGAACTAGAACTAGAACTGAACTAGAACTAGAACTGAACTAGAACTAGAACTGAACTAGAACTAGAACTGAACTAGAACTGATCTAGAAACTGAACTAGAACTGAACTAGAACTGAACTAGAACTGAAACTAGAACTGAACTAGAACTGAACTAGAACTGAACTAGAACTGAACTAGAACTAGAACTGAACTAGAACTGAACTAGAACTGAACTAGAACCGAACTAGAACCGAACTAGAACCGAACTAGAACTGAACTAGAACTAAACTAGAACTGAACTAGAACTAGAACTGAACTAGAACTAGAACTAGAACTAGAACTAGAACTAGAACTAGAACTAGAACTAGAACTAGAACTGAACTAGAACTGATCTAGAACTGAACTAGAACTGAACTAGAACTGAACTAGAACTGAACTAGAACTGAACTAGAACTGAACTAGAACTGAACTAGAACTGAACTAGAACTGAACTAGAACTGAACTAGAACTGAACTAGAACTGAACTAGAACTGAACTAGAACTGAACTAGAACTGAACTAGAACTGAACTAGAACTGAACTAG